ATTTCTGGGTGGACGCCCCCCAAGTTTCCAATTCTGGAGGTGAGAATTGGAATTTCTAACTAGGTTCCCAGGTGATGCAAATGCTGGTGGTCCAGGGACCCCACTTTGAGAACCGCACTGAGTTAGGGGAGAGGCAAAACTGCTATAACGACGACACGAAACCTCAAAAATACAATGGCTGAAGTAACATTTTTTTTTCTACTTCACATTATAGACTGGTCAGATGTAAGGTTATTCTGGAACCCAGGTTCTTTGCACTTTGTGGCTGCCATCCCCTCGAGGATTGTCCTTATCAGCCTGGTGAAAGCCAGGTCACTGCCTCACTTACACTGAGCCTGTGGGAAAAAGAAAAAAGAAAAGTCTGGAGCAGCCAGTTCCTAGTAAGCAAGGGACACTGACGTTACACCCTTTACATTCCCACATATCATTAATACGTTGTGAAACTTAATCACAAGGCTGAATAGCCACGGGCCCAGCTGACCCACAACTAGGACCCTGCCACAATAATATGCTGCCATCAACCTTTTAATTTGTAAAATAATCATCAGATACAAATTAGTTGACTCATACCAAATCATTAACACTCAAATATGGCATAGTAAAGTATGTAATATGAAATTTAATTAAAGTATATTTTTATTTACCTAATCCTATAATCTCTAAAACAGAATGAACTTCTACTCCCTGGCATGTACTTCAAACAAGGTTCAATTTCTTCCTGATGTAAACTCTACCCAACAGGCTCTCCCTGACTGTTACAACACTAAGTATATTTACTAGCATCATGTATATTTGTACGTGCATTATATAGAAAGGTGTATGTATACATACAGCCATCAACACACACACATATATATATATAAATTCAGGTAAGCCTCAGTTTGGCATAACTTAATCGTAGATTTATTTCGCTAATTTGATGTGATATTGAATCTATTCAGCATGAAGGTATTCCCTCTCTCTCTGCTGTAAATGCTAGTTTCTCTCCCTCAATCCCAGGCTGCATCTTTTCACCACCACTGTTCTGTGCCCATGACATTTCGGATTGGCAACCATTACATTTAATAAAGAGCAACATCACATTTGTACTGCACTCTACAAGCATGTTAGCCATAACTCAATCTTTCGTTTCAGCTAAACATCACTGAACACCCTCCCTAAGCCCATGTAAGGCTGTAGTAGATGCCATCCCTATGTGTGGCATGTGCATAAGCTTCCGTTTTCTGTCTCAACAATACATATGATTGGAAGGCTCAGCTTGGTCACTGACTCAGATGGTGACTTAGGGACACACAGGAAATGAGAGCATTGTGGCAGCATTAGCTGCTTTATGGACCGCTAAAATTTTGCATAATTTGTGTTATACCTTGGAGTCAACACAGGGAAAATGTAAAAAGGTGCTATGTCCCCAGGGAAGCATGGTACCCAGTAGGCAAAGATGCTGCCACGGTTTTGGTGCCACCCTCCCTGGGGCCACGTCCACAGCCAGATTCCTGTGTTTATTTGCCAAGGCGCTGCATTAAAAAAAAAAAAAAAAAAACCAGAGACACAAAGAGAGACAAAGAAGAGCTCCCTCTGGCAGAAAATGCTGCAAGTCCACTAGTAAAACGTCCTACTAGCCACAGGTGAGATGTGACTTACGAAAGGAAGTGGATAATTTTTGCTTGATGGTGAATTGTTAAAAGTGAACCAGATGATTAAAGTTAATGGAACAGCCACATTAAACTGAAATTAGTAAAAACATGCCTCGGGCAGTCTACAACCTTTTATTTGTTGTTGTTTAACTTCTGTCATTTACAGTGGCCATGACGGATGACATCACAAAAGAAAAAATCCAATTAAAATCTAAGTGCTCAATAAACCCCTAATGTCTGGTTGTCACCATCACTTTCACAGGCACTGATGTCTTATGTTTCCTCTTTTCCCCAAGAATGGAGAAAATAACTGGCCCCAGGGGAGTTCAACGGAAGGGGAGGAGTGTGGAGAGAAAACAAAACAGAGGCTTCTGGAGGTTTCTGCTGTGTCTACTCTGCCAGACCCAGATAATACACTTGGGGAGCAGGAGGGGGAGGAGGTTAAATTTTTTTTTTATCAGACAATGCCTGAGTGAAGAGATGCATTTTCCCACTAGTTTTCAAATATTGATAAATCAGAATTGTGATCTGCAAAGCAATCCCTGTTCACACTCTTATTTGGTGTCTCCTCTGACCTTTACATCGTCTTGGGTGTTTGTTCCGTAAGTCATCGAAATGGTCTCTCTTGACAGCTAAAAATAAGTTTCTGATTACTTTTACCTGAATAAATCATGTGGCCAGATGCGGTACTCACCTACTAAGTGTGCAACAATTACATACTGAAAGTGGTGAAAGAACTGGCCGAGGAGAGTGTATAATCTAGTGGAATGCAGAATATGATGGAATAAATCACGTGTAAAGACAACAGTTGCCCCCGGTAGAAGAATACTGGCTTTTGATAACAGATTTTACCTTAGAGATACCATGTGTTTATAAAATTGGGTTTTCAAAAAGTCCTCAAAATAAAGTTCTCAAAGTCAAAATAAGAGCAAAAATATGCTGATTGTGAATTAAGGGCCAATAATAGTAGCAAACTCAAATTTGGAAGGTGGTTTATAACTTATAAAACACATATCGCACTTTTACTGCATGCTTTTGTGGAGATTAATGTACTGTTTGTAGATGGTCTCTAATTAGATCTTCACAACCTTCTGGGCATGTAGCTCTTATTATCCCCGTTTTCTGGGCAAGGATTCTGGCTCAGGGAGGTTGATTGACTCTGCTGTGGTCTTATGACCCTTGGTGAGTGCAAGAGAATGAACGTGGCCCCTACTCAGGTCTGAGGTACAGCGCCCCCAACACTGTGCCATACCGCTGCCCACTGCTGCCCTGGAGCAAGGATCTGCCAGGCAGTCACACTGGTTTCCTTTCTCATGGGTTAATGAAATAGCTTTTTAAGAGCCTTCTTCACTCATTAGTATTTGACAATGGAGAGTTAAACTTTCCCCAGTGGCTTTCTGTGTCGTCATGGTTTCGATGTTTCCTTAGCATATCATATTACACAAATCACAGAATGCTCTTGTTTTACATTTCTTATTGCATTCATCTCACTTCTAAGCAATTTCCTCCCCGTTCGCATTTATCTTCCATCATTTCTGTCAAATTGCTTTCAAGGCTACTAATTGTGTGAATAATATTCTCTTTCCCAAACACCGAGCGATTAACCAGCTTTAGCTGTGTGGCATTGGACACACTTTAAAAATGAGGAAGCTGTACCAAATAATCTATAAAGCCTCTTCTTGTGCTCAAGTTCTAATCTTCTGACTCCTTTCACATGAGCCGTGTGATTTTGGAAATACTACGTGAATTGGAGCCTTGGTTTTCTTGACGCTACGACGATGGATTAAATTAGTTCATGTTTCCCAAAGTATCTTTCTTAGAAAATTGATTATGGAAGATATCTAAATGGGTCACACCCAAAAAGGATTCTTTAAACAAGAAAGTTAGGGAAAGCTAGATTTAAAAAAGTCAATAGTTTCAAACTGCAGACACAGCTTTGATATGTTCATGGATGACTCCAAGAAAGAGGCAAAATATGAAGTATTTCTTAACCTCAACATTTTGGGTAAATGATATTCCATGGAATACGTATTTAGAAAGACTAGGTTAGATTATTTCTTAAAGTCCCTTTTTGCCCTCAGAGTCTATTTTCAAATGTGTAGATGCTGCTCTGAGCATTTCCTATTAATCCAGAGGATGCAGAGTTGCTTTACCTGTTGCTGTTGTTGCCGTGTTGTTGTAACACAGGCCATGCTCTATTTAGACGTGGCTGCAACAAGGCAGAGATTAGCAACCTTCCCACTAACACTCACTTGTCTATATGTCACTCATACTCACTACTCTGGGGCTTATAAATAGTCCTCCTCAGTAAAAACCTCTCTTTAAAAATTTGTAAACAGGGTTAGATTGTTTGAAGACCTATAGATACCATCAAAATTTTGGCTGGGTGGGAAAGGAAACAAAGGGAGCTCAACACTATGGAAATAATCTTAGGGGTAGGAAACATGGACTACTTGTCCAAGTTAGGATCATCGTCTTCTGCTTTCATGGTATCTTAGCATTCATTTAATTCAACCCTTTACCCAGACCCATTTCATTGATGGTTAATCATCAGAGTTTCTGCTTGATTACCTTCAGGATCAGGGAACTCACCACCTCGTAAAACAGACTATCTCAGTTTTAAGCTAGCTCTAATTACTAGAAGGTCCTTTCCAATATGAATGGTAAATGTTATTGCTCCAAATGACCTTCTAAATTATCTAGCCAGGTGGTTTTCAAGACATTATCCATTGACAGCACTTATGATGTTTCTCAAATGCTTCAAGTTGAATTCCATAAATAAATAATCACATCTTCCCAGAAAAGTGGTTATAATCTCCATCAGTAAAGACCCAAGGAAATTACCTAGCTTCCCTAAATTCACCAAGACAGTAAATTTAGTGTAGAAGCAGAATGTACCCAGATCTCTCTGATTAAAACCAAAGTCCTTTTCTCAATGTATATTGCTTCTCTAATATGTTTGTGTACATATAAGTGAGGAGGGGAGTGTATTCGTAGAATGTGAAATCTGTAGTGAAAATAAGGAAACAGTGGAAATAATTTCCAGCCAGCCTAATATGCCCTTGGACATCTTGCTACTGCTCAATCTATTAGTTTTCTCTTCTTCAAAATAAGAAGGATTACTAAATTTTCCCCGAAATTCTGTTCCAGGTCTGGAAGATTCTATGATTATAAGGGAACATGTTCATTAATGAATGGCATTTACTACTGAGAGGTTATGTAAAGAGTAAAAAGGAAAAAAAAAAAAACTTGTATGCCTTAGAAAGGATTGAATAAAAGTTAACATAGCATGCACCATAAAGACAAAAACGGTTTAGGATCGCATTCTTGACTTTTACTTTCTTTAATTTTTTTTTTCTACACTAGTTACATTCAGACCAGGATAGAGGAGATGGATCACTTAAATATATCCTTTCAGGAGATGGAGCAGGAGATCTCTTCATTATCAATGAAAACACAGGCGACATACAGGCCACTAAGAGGCTGGACAGGGAAGAAAAGCCCGTTTACATCCTTCGAGCTCAAGCTATAAACAGAAGGACCGGGAGACCTGTGGAGCCCGAGTCTGAATTCATCATCAAAATCCATGACATCAACGACAATGAGCCAATATTCACCAAGGAGGTTTACACAGCCACCGTCCCCGAAATGTCTGACGTCGGTGAGTCAGATGTGATTTCAGCCAAAAACGGGTTCTCCTCTAGGGCATCCACCCAGTAAGGAATCCCATGAGCCAAATTTACTGAGTTGAATGAATGTAGATGCTAAATTTTACAATCCATGTATGTCCCTTTTGTAAGTGTACTGTGTTTCCCAATATTATTCTAGCCTCTTTTTGTTATTGTTTTTAAGAAAACAGCATTTCACAGCATTTCCTCTAATGATGAAGGTATCAAAAGTGGCAGGTGATGGTGGGAGGTAGGAAGAAAGACCACCTCCTTTTCCTCCCACCCTGAACTCCCACTCCGTTTCCTGGGCTGGAAGACAGCAGCCTCCTCCATTTCTCTCAGCGACGCTGGTGTCAGTATCCAAGTAGGGCTCTCCCCAGTAGAAAATAAAAGCCTGAACTTGCAGTCCGGTCTAAAGAGCAGGGACAGTGGCTTTAAGTAACTGTATGTTTGGGAAAAAGACTCAGAGAAAACTTTTTTTTATATCCAAAAACAATATACAGGTGATGTCTAGAGGACATATCCTTTAGGGCTTGGTGGAAATTAAGAGACCTTCATAACGTTAATAGTGTGAATTAATATTTTATGCACAATTCCACTACCAATTTCAAATTTGATGTGTGTGCATTTAATTTGTTTAAATTGGGAGAAGGTAAATAAGATTTAAATTAGGGGAAAAAATCATACTGATATCACTCAGCCATGTTAAAATACTTCATGGGAGACAATGACAAATTTTAGACTACTCATGTAAAGGTTATTTTTATTTTCTGTCAAATTCAAAAGGACTGAAATTACACAACTTTATTATGATTCTATGGGTTGGATCCCAGACATGTTGTAGTTCATAGATCCAAGACATGGAAAATACCCAATCCACAGGAATGACTATAAAACATCTAAAATTTTCTCATGAAAAAAATTGCTCGTGTCATTATTTAAAACCGCTTTGTTTTGTTACAAAAATCACAAGCCCTCACCAAAACAAAGAGGGTGGCTGGAATTCTTCAAAGAGTAAAGTTCATTAGGGGAAAAATAAAAATTTTTCCTCTAGATGGTAAGAGGCAGAAGAATTAATAAAGGATAATCTTGTCACCAGCACCAATCAGGGCACCTGAAACCAGCTATACAGGTCGTGCGCTGTACAACTTCTAGGGGGCATCATTCACTTTTGAAACCCTTAGAGAATTAAATATGTATTACAAATAGTTGGGGGTAGCTGGCAGTAACAAGTCTTGAGAAAAGGAAGGTTTTCTTCAATCTGCACACAGGCACTATGTCGATATTCATTATTATCATAAATTAACATGTCATTATTGTAATATATAAAGGCATGTTAAAGAAAAGTCCATAAAGCTAGTGAGACAACTAATAGCAGAGGAAGAATAATGAACTTTGTTATTAAAAAGACCTGAATTTGAAACTATCTCCACTAATAACCAGCAATGTGGCCTTGAGCAAATTATTTGATTTCTTTGGTCCTCCAGTTCTGTATATAGAAAAAAAATAAATAATAAATGTCAACTCCTAAGGGTTATCATGAGGATTAGATGAGAAAAAAAGCACAGAGCCCCTAGTACCACATCTGGCAACTAACAGGCACTTAACACATCCAGATAATCACATTCTAAAAGCAGTCAAATTTTGTATTAATGTCAAATAAGAACTTGAGTGTTTGTTGACTTCTGTTGGCTCTCTGAAATCATAGGATGCTCTCACTCTCCCCACCTCCCTGGCCAACTTAAAGGGTTGAGTGCTCTGTCTCATGCACCAGCACTATACATCCGGAGCATCCAACCCTAACATAGTGCAATCGATTTGTTCAATAAATGAAGTTGGTTGGATAGTACAAAAGCAATGTAGAAATTTTAATATTCTCTAGATGTAACTTCCCTGCCCTTTTCATGGACAGGAGAACAGCAGCAGTGTGCTTACTGTGTATCTGATATGAATATCAAAAGTCAACCATAAAATGATCTTAATCAAAGGGTCTTATCCTTTTTAAAAGTCACAGTCCTTTGAGAATCAGATAAAATCTATGGGCTTTCTCATCAGTGAAATAGACATGTAACCACATACATGAAAATTTGCATGGAATGTCTGGGGGTTAGGGATACTTTGAAGGTTATTAGGCAATTGTGATCCCTAAAATAAGAATGATGATCTAAAATATAATAGCCTTCTGTGTATATTTAATTATAATTGTCTTTTGGAATTACAGCTTCCAGATCTTTATGCTCTGTTCTTCCAATTAATTCTTTATTTTAATCCAAAACTATGACATTTAAGGTTCAAATTCTTAGGATGCTTTTATTGGCAAGTAACAAGAAACCCAACTTGAACTAGTTTAAACAGTAAAAGTATTTCCTGGTTACATTACTTAAATCCAAAAGGAAAGTGGGCTTCAGACATGATTTGTTCTCAGTTCTAGCTGTTTCTCTGTAGTTTTCTGTTCTATTCCACTTTGTCCTCAGGCTGGCATTTCTGAGATCACAAAATAGCTGCTGCAATATACATCAGCACATTACAGTCCAGGAGAAAAAGTATCTGTGACAGAATTTCCAGCAAAATCATGAGTGGCCCCTGACTGGACAATTCCTAAATTAATTCTTGTGGACAGAGTAATGCAAGATGCTAATTGACTTAGTCCTGGATAACTTCAAAGAATCACCATATCAAGGGTCCGCTCAAATCCCACAATTGGAGACGAGTTGGAATCAATGCCACCCAAAGTCATAATCATCTCCATGCTTCTTTTTAACCTAATCCTTATGATGTTTATAAATGTCGATCACATTCTTTTGAAGAATTCAAAGCTTTTTAACAGAGCATCCTACAGAAGTTCTCCACTTCCTCGCCATGATAGTTTTACACACAATTAAGACTGCTTTCCTTTCCTGTGTGTATCAAAGATTGTAATGAAGCCTTGATTTATTTCCAGTTAATGTTTCTGTCATTACAGGTACCTTTGTTGTCCAAGTCACTGCAACTGATGCTGATGATCCAACATACGGGAACAGTGCTAAAGTTGTCTATAGTATTCTACAGGGACAGCCCTATTTTTCAGTTGAATCAGAAACAGGTTAGAATTCCTTTTTGATCGTCTTTTTCTCAGTCTGTAATTTTAATTGGCATGCTCAGCTGAGCTAGCATATTTTTTAATAAAAACAATCAGTGTGATTGAATTTTCTTGCATTCATCTACCAAATGCTAATGATACATTTGTAAACATGACATCTGGATCATTTTAATCAAGAAATCTGGCAATGAATCTTTCATCCACTGTGTTTCTATAGGGTTGATTCAAACAAATTATGCATTGCTTTATTTTCCTTCCAGTTTGGGGAAAAGCTAAAAGATCAACCTTTTCTGATAGCTATTAGGCCTGTTTACATATATTTTGATTCTTCTTTTTCTCATTACTTAGTAGGAATGTGTCTCTCTGTTCTGCTCTGGAGCCAGATATGGCTATGTGATTTATATGGGCAAACAAAATGTGGCAGTGATGCAAGTCACTTTTAAGTAAAACTTTTAGAGCTGGTACACAATCCACCACATTCCCTTCCCCTTGCCGGAGTGATCATGGAAACCAATGTTCAGACGGCGTCTGCAGCCTGGCTGTCTGAGTGGTATCATGAGCAGAGGTTCCTGCTTGCCTGCTTGGAGCATGAATGAAAAAGAAGCTTTATCTGTGCTAAACCACTGAGATCTTGCATTATTTGCTGTCATATCATTGTCTGGCCCATCCTAACTGATACAGCCCTATCAAAGTGAAATTGCCTTATGGAATCCTCTTTTCAATATTTCATTTTTCTGTATTTTTTCAAGTATCATGCTAGCTTATAATTATTTGTTTTTTAGTAAATACCATTTGTATTGCATAGTAAATTCTACACCAAGTTTTGCTGTCATAATGCAGTAATTTCCTTTTATACATTTTTTTAAACATCCACTATTGTTAGTAGAAATCAAAACCTCTCTAGGTTACCACATCCAGTTGGAAACCCATGTGTTAAGAGGTACAATGAACTTGGAAAGAATCCCAAGGAGAAAGAAAATGTTGAGTTGAAAAACAATGAGGATGAAAAATTAGAATTATTCGACTTAAAGGACAAAAGGCTAAGGTGATCTCCTGTATTTAAATAGAGAAGTACTATTATCTGGAGAACAGAAAGCAGCTGCAGTTTCACTGAAGCCAGGACTATAAGAATAAAATTGACCTGTTGTCTGAGGTATTCTTGTTAAAAATAAAAAAAGATATTTTCAGCTTCATTAGTTGTTAAGCACTGGAACGTGCTACCAGAGAAGGTTATAAAGCCTTCTCCGGTGATTTTTGAAAGAAAGTTAATTTAAGCATAAACCCTACATAGAAATTAGGCGAACTTTTAGAGGTTCTTTTAACTAATTATTTTATAACTACCTAACAATAGAGATAAATTTAACCTAACTTAAGAATGTTGATTGCTGTTGGGACCAGTTGAACTAAAGTTCACATCAGCTTTAGGAAAACTTAAATTCTCTAGGATTATACAAGATGATAATTATGAGAGATGCTGTGTTTTCTTAAGACCATAGTTTTGTGATTTAGAAAATCCTCAGAACTTTTATTATGGTAGGTATATTTGAGGAACAATTAGCCAATTCAGTAACATAAAACACAAGAGTTAGTTCAAGTATAGAGCTTTCTTAACAATTTTTCATAATACACCTAAATGTCTTTTATCAAGCAACTACTGTAGTATACCTTTATACCATGTCAACTTAGACTTTGCTGTATCATCTTATAACACTTAATGGCTATAGGTGTGGTATCTCACGTTTATAATCCTAGCACTTTGGAAGGCCAAGGTAGGAAGATGGCTTGAGGTCAGGAGTTAGAGACCAGCCTGAGTAAGAGTGAGACCCCCATCTCTACAAACAACAGCAAAATTAGCCAGGCATGGTGGCACACACCTGTAGTCCCAGCTACTGGGGAGGCTGAGGCAGGAGGATCACTTGAGTCCAGGAGTTTGAGGTTGCAGTGACTTTGATGATGCCACTGCACTCTAGCCCAGCAGACAGAGCAAAACCCTGTCTCAAAAAAAAAATCATATATCTATAACATAATTATAATATTAAGTCTTATAACATTTAATAGTCTATAGTATTGCAGGATTTGACTTGTATTTATTTTTATTCTCCTTGTATTACAGGCTTTTTTTTAATGTATCTATCTCCCCTGCTTGGTTGTAAAATCCTTCAGTATAAAGGCTGTATATAATCATTTTTATATCACCAGGACATCTGCATAATGTTTTGCATATTGTGGGTGACAGTTTATGGTTGTTTGCATAAATAAGTGATTCCACAAAGTATTCTTAATACATCCTTTACCACTCCTAAATTTCATATCCACAGGTATCATCAAGACAGCTTTGCTCAACATGGACCGAGAAAATAGGGAACAGTACCAAGTGGTGATCCAAGCCAAGGACATGGGCGGCCAGATGGGAGGATTATCTGGGACCACCACAGTGAACATCACGCTGACAGATGTCAATGACAATCCTCCTCGATTCCCCCAGAGTAGGAACATTTGATTGAATGAGTTTCTTCAATCCACTTTTGTAAAACTCCAACTTTAATGATAATTTTCCATTGCTGTCATTATTGTCAAAATTAGTGGACTTAGTAAGAACTGGCACTTTTATTAAAAATGAGTTGGCAACACTGCTTACACTCAGGAAATGTGAACATTTATGATTCTCTATTGGTAATTAGCTGAGCGATTTCTGATATGGCTATTGTTGTAAAGGCAACATCATTGTTTCATTTTTCCTCATTAAAAAGACTACCACAAACATAAATCTGCTTATGCAGAACATATGTATACAAGCATGATGCTATTTGTTAGGAAAAATTTGACTTTATGTTTTGTGAATTTAATCAGGCATGTAATCTCTTTTAAATCCTCACAAAGCTTTGTAAGGGGAGGCTTTATCATTTTACTGTTTCTAAAAATACAACTGTGGAAGTAACTATGTACTTAATCCATTTGTAATCATAAATAGTTTTCTACATTATGGCTAATTGAGATACTGAAAGTCATCTCTAGAATCATTAACTCTCGTAATTAGATAAGAAGGAAGAAAAAGGAAAAACAACATCCATGAATACCAACTTTGTGTAAGGCAGTGTGCTAAACTCTTTCACATACAGCCACCTAAGAGGGAACTGGTTTTAATGTAATTTTTCTTCCAGGAAAAAAATCCTTTTCTGACCATGATCTCCTAAGACAGTTATCTCAATCACTAAATAGAAAACCCACTGGCTCTATCATGGCATTTTTTATTTATTTATTTTTTAATTTCAGAATATTCTGGGGGTACAAACATTTTGGTTACATATAATGCCTTTGCCTCACCCAAGCCATAGCTACAAGCATGCCCATCCCCCATACAGTGTGCTCCGCCTCCATTGCTTGTGAGCTTACCCTCTCCACCACCCTCCTCCCACCTGATCGGCACCCGATGAATATTACTTCCATGTGAGCACCTAAGTGTTCATCAGTTAGTACCAATTTGATAGCGAGTACATGTGGTTCTTGTTTTTCCATTCTTGAGATACTTCACTTTGAAGGATGGGCTCAAGCTCTATCCAGGATAATATAAGAGGTGCTATTTCACCATTGTTTTTTGTAGTTGAGTAGTACTCCATGGTATACATATACCACATTTTATTAATCCACTCATGTACTGATGGGCACTTGGGTTGTTTCCACATCTTTGCAATTGTGAATTGTGCTGCCATAAACATTCAAGTGCAGGTGTCTTTATTATAGAATGTCTTTTTTTCCCTTGGGTAGATGCCTAGTAGTGGGATTGCTGGATCAAATGGTATTTCTATTTTTAGCTCTTT